GCCGCCGGTACCGGCAGCCCGGGGGAGCTTCCATGAGGGGGTTCCCGGGCCCCCCCACCGGCTCCCTTCGCGGCTCGGGGGGCGGCGGTGGCACCGGCACCGGGTAGGGACACCCGGGGCTGCCCGGGCCGTGCTGTCCCCGGCCCGGTGCCGGTGCCTTGGGGTGGGTGTTTACCTAAGCCCCGGCCTCCCCCGTGCCGGGCAGCTGCTCCCAGTCCCCTCCCTCACCACCCTCCCCTCCCTCCTGCAGTGCCCGGAGCCCCGCGGCGGCGGTGGCGGCGAAGATGCCGGACCGCGACAGCTACAACAACGGCAACAGCGGGGATGAGGTGGGCGCCAACGCCGACGACATCTGCCGCGATTTCCTGCGCAACGTCTGCAAACGAGGCAAGCGCTGCCGCTTCCGGCACCCCGACATCAGCGAGGTCACCAACCTGGGCGTGCGCAAGAACGAGTTCATCTTCTGCCACGATTTCCAGAACAAGGAGTGCGTCCGTCTCAACTGCCGTTTCATCCACGGCACCAAAGAGGACGAGGACTGCTACAAGAAGACGGGGGAGCTGCCCCCGCGCCTGCGGCAGAAGGTGGCTGCTGGGCTGGGCCTCTCGCCCGCCGACCTGCCCAACAGCAAGGAGGAGGTGCCCATCTGCAGGGACTTCTTGAAGGGCGACTGCCAACGGGGCGCCAAGTGCAAGTTCCAGCACCTGCAGCGGGACTACGAGTACGAGGCGCGGGGCATGGCGGCCCGCGAGCAGGGCATCGTCCCCGCCGTCCGCCGCTATGACCCCTACGATGCCATCTATGACCCCGACCGTTACGACGACCACGACCCTGTGCTGAAGCGGCGACGGGTGGACGGCTTGCACTTCGAGACCTATGAGTACAGCTTCGCCAGCCCGCGGACGGTGGAGTACCGGCTGCTGGAGGAGGAGAACATCATGCTGCGCAAGCGCGTGGAGGATCTCAAGAAGCAGGTGAACAACCTGCTGGCCACCAACGAGGTGCTGCTGGAGCAGAATGCCCAGTTCCGCAACCAGGCCAAGGTGATGACGCTGAGCTCCACCGCTACCGCCACCGAGCAGACTCTGGCCCCCACTGTGGGCACCGTCACCAACTACAACCACAGCATTGCCCAGACCCACACCACGCTCAGCAGCCAGGCCCTCCAGCCCCGGCCCGTCTCCCAACAGGATTTGGTAGCTCCTGCCGGAGCCCAGGCGGCTCCCCCCGCCAACGCCGCTCCCCCCATGAACCCCGAAATCACCCCGCTTTCGGCTGCCTTGGCCCAGACCATCGCGCAGGGCATGGCCCCCCCGGTCTCCATGGCACCAGTGGCTGTTTCAGTGGCGCCGGTGGCCGTTTCGATGGCGCAGCCGTTGGGTGGGATCACCATGAGCCACGCCACCACCCCCATGGTGACGTACCCCATCGCCTCCCAGAGCATGAGGATAACGGCCATGCCCCACTGACCCCACCCCGCTGCGGGGACCGCGCCGCTGGTGAGCGGGGACGGGGCAGCCGGTGGGACCGCCAACCCCCTGTGAAACTGAGCCGAGGAGGAGGAGGAGGAAGGGCAGACCCTCCCCAGCCTGTGGACAATGGTGGGGGCTCTCGCCTGGTGGTGCGGTACCCCCCCCCTCCCCAAACCGGGGGCTTTGCGCCTCGGCCCAGCCCCCGCCGCACTGGGGTGGGGGGGTTGTCGATAAAACCTCCCAGGGAGGGTTGGGGCTGCTCCCCTCGGGGAGCCCCGTGTATGGACACGGCCCCCCCACCCCCAACCTCCCTGGTGCCGGGTCTGTGTCCCGGTGCTGGGGGAGGAGGGGGGGGGGCGGCACCGGGGCTGCGGCTCCCCCGGGCCCTGTAACGTTTTCAACTATTAAAAA